CTGAGGGGTTGTGGCTCCCTTGTCGCCTCCCTGGGTGGCCCTGAGGTGGCACCAAGTCCTCCAGGGTGGCCCTGAGGGGTTGTCACTTCCCCGCGGCTACGCGGCCGGAGCTCTGCTGGCCTGGGGCCACTGCGGGGCCCAGCTGGGCCAGCGGCTGCAGTGTCCCCTGCGGCCACAGGTGGGGCTGGCACCGGGGGGTTGGCACCTCCGGGGGTGGCCTTGGGTGGCACCGAGTCCTGGGGTGGCCCTGAGCTTCCGTGGCGTCCTTGTCACCTCCTGGGGTGGCAGCAGGGTGGCCCTGAGGGGTTGTGGCTCCCTTGTCACCTCCCTGGGTGGCCCTGAGGTGGCACCAAGTCCTCCAGGGTGGCCCTGAGGGGTTGTCACTTCCCCGCGGCTACGCGGCCGGAGCTCTGCTGGCCTGGGGCCACTGCGGGGCCCAGCTGGGCCAGCGGCTGCAGTGTCCCCTGCGGCCGCAGGTGGGGCTGGCACCGCGGTGGCACCGGGGGTTTGGCACCTCCTGGGGTGGTCCTGAGGTGGCACGTTGTCCTGCAGGGTGGCACTGGGGGGTTGTCACCTGCCCGGGTGGCCTTGAGGGATTGTGGCTTCCTTGGCACCTCCCCTGGGTGGCCTTGAGGAATTGTGGCTCCCTTGGGTGGCCCTGAGGTGGCACCGCGTCCTCCAGGATGGCCCTGAGGGGTTGTGACTCCCTTGTCACCTCCCTGGGATGGCACTGAGGAGTTGTCACCTCTCTGGAGCGGCTCTGAGGTTCCATGGCTCCCTTGTCACCTCTTTGAGTGGTCCTGAGTTGTCACCACCTTGGGTGGCCCTGGGGTGGCACCGAGTCCTCTAGGGTGGTGGCAGTGTCACTGTCCCCATGATGTCCCCACAATGTCCCCATGATGTCCCCAATGTCTCCAATGTCCCCAGGTGCACGGGCTGTACTCGGCACTGCGCCACGTCCCCAGGGTGGCAGTGTCCCCACGACGTCCCCACAATGTCCCCATAACATCCCCACAATGTCTCCATGATGTCCCAATGTCCCCAATATCCCCAATGTCCCCAGGTTCACGGGCTGTACTCGGTGCTGTGGCATGTCCCCATGATGTCCCCACGATGTCCCCAATGTCCTCACAATGTCCCCAATGTCCCCATGGCAGTGTCCCCACGTCCCCAATGTCCCCAGTGTTCCCCCAGGTGCACGGGCTGTACTCGGCACTGTGCCACGTCCCCGGGGTGGCAGTGTCACTGTCCCCAATGTCCCCACAATGTCCCCAATGTCCCCATGTCCCCACAATGTCCCCAATGTCCCCACGATGTCCCCAATGTCCCCAGGTGCACAGGCTGTACTTGGCGCTGTGCCACGTCCCCAGGGTGGCAGTGTCACTGTCCCCAATGTCCCCACAATGTCCCCAATGTCCCCAATGTCCCCAGGTGCACGGGCTGTACTCGGCGCTGTGCCACATCCCCGCGCTGCTGGCGCTGGCCCTGCTCAGCCTCTGGTACCCGGCACTGCTGATCCGCAGCCTCCGGCAGCGCCCGGAGCCACAGGTCGGACACCGGGAACGGGGGAGTGGGAACGGGACATTGGGAATGGGACACCGGGAATGCGACACCAGGAATGGGACACCGGGAACGGGGGAGTGGGAATGGGGGAGTGGGAATGGGACACTGGGAACGGGACACCGGGAACGGGACACCGGGAATGGGACACCGGGAACGGGGGAGTGGGAACGGGGGTGTGGGAATGGGACACCGGGAATTGGACACCGGGAACGGGGGAGTAGGAACGGGACACCAAGAATGGGACACAGGGAATGGGGGAGTGGGAATGGGACACCGGGAATGGGACACCGGGAATGGGACACTGGGAACGGGACATTGGGAACGGGACACTGGGAACGGGAGAGTGGGAACGGGACACTGGGAATGGGATTGGGAGCGGGGTTGGGATCGGGAGCAGGAGCGGAACTGGGATAGGGATTGGGGTTGGGATCAGGTTCGGGATGGGGATGGGGATTGGGGCTGGGACTGGGATCAGGATCGGAACCGGGATCATGGGAACAGGAGTGGGATCGGGACCAGGGCTGGGATCAGGATCTGGATTGGGTTCAGGAGGGGGATGGGGATGGGGATGGGGATGGGGATGGGGATGGGGATGGGGATGGGGATCAGAACTGGGACTAGGATTGGGATCGGGACCGGGGTTGGGATTGGGATCGAGAGCAGGATTGAGATTTGGGATCAGGATCAGGGATCGGGTTCGGGATGGGGATGGGGATTGGGGCTGGGATCGGGGTTAGGATTGAGAGCCTGATTAGAATCGGGATCAGGATCAGGATCGGGATCAGGATTGAGATTGGGTTTGGGGGCTCTGCACATTCCCCTCCCAGCCCCAGCACTGGGGGATTCTCCTTCGATATCCCAGGATTGGCACCAGGAATCTGGGGACAGTCCCTGGGGGTCGGGATCAGGATGGGGATCGGGATTAGGAATGGGATTGGGATCAGGATTGGGATCAGGATCGGGACCAGGACTGGGTGTGGGATTGGGATCAGGACCAGGACTGGGTGTGGGATTGGGATTGGGATTGGGAGCAAGATCGGGATCAGCAGTGGGATTGGGAGTGGGATTTGGATTGGGATCAGGACCAGGACTGGGTTTGGGATCGGGATTGGGACTGGGATCAGGACTGGGTTTGGGATGGGGATTGGGATCAGGATGGGGATGGGAAGCTCTGCCCGTTCCCCTCCCGGCACCGAGGGCTCTCTGTTGCTATCCCGGGGCTGGCACCGGGAGCGGGAAATCCGCCTCTGGAATAAATCCCTTCCACAAGGGGCTCCGGCCATCAATGGCTCCGTTCAGGCCGGCTCCAGGCTCTCCTCGTTTTCCCGGATAATCCCTGGCACTCGGAGTGGCGCCGGGCCTTTGTCGGGATGAGAGGAGGGGAAACCGTGAAAGGCCCGAGGTGACCCCCGGCAGGCAGGAACGAGGGATTCCAGAGGGATTCGGGAATGGGGGCCGGAATATTCCTGCTTTTCCATCCCTACATCGCACGTTCCACCTCCCAGGCAATTCCTGTTGGGATATTCCCGGTCTCCCCAGACCCATCCGTTTTTCCCTGTTTCCCGCCAGATTCCTGGGAAAGGTTATTACAGGAAGTACCTCAAGGCCGTGCTGTCCAAGCGGGGCCGGAAGGGGAGGTAAGGCCGGCCATTCCCATTCCCAGCAAATCCCAAAGTTCCCAAAAGTCGGGAACGTCAGCCTCTCCCGCCTCCCGCAGCTCCGTCGGGATCGAGGAGAGCCGCTGGTCCCGGATCCGCTCCTACCTGCGCTCCTACTTCTACATTCCCGAGGAAGGTGGGAAAAATCCATGGGAAAATCCCGCGGGATCAGGGAATGGTCGGGCTTGGGATTTATGGATCAGCCAGGCCGTTCCCGATATCCCAGATTGCTCCCAGCCCCATCCCAGCCAGCCTGGGCTGGAGCCCAAATCCAGCCATGCTTGGGGCAGGGATCCACAAATCCATGGAAAATGGTCCTGGGAGTGACGGGAAGCCCATGGAGACCCCATTTCCTTAGAAGAGGTTCCTGGGAATGATGGGAACCCCACGGAGACCCCATTTCCATGGAAAAGGCTCCTGGGAGAGGTCTGGGGATGATTCCAGGAAGTTTGGGGTGGTTTTCCTGGGAAAGCTCAGCAAGGGAAGGACGGGAGCAGCCGGGGGCTGGAGAAGGGAATTATCCAGCACCGAGAGGACAAAATTCTGGGAACACGGAGCCGCTCCCAGCTCTTCCCATCCGTGGAGGAGCCGGGGAACATCCCAGAGGTGGCTCCTGAGTTCCCATGGAAAAGCAGGATCCGTTCCCAGACCTCCGTCCCGGCAGGAATTCCCATTCCACGAGGAAACCCCGTTCCAGGCTCTCCCTCCACCATCCCCAAATCCCGCTTTTCCGCAGGATTCCGGATCCCGCTGAAGCTGCTGGTGTCGGTCACCACGGCCGTCATTGCCGTCTACCAGGTGGGGAACATTCCCGTGGGAACATTCCGGCGGGATCCCGGCCGGAAATGCCGGGATGCCGTCGGGAGCTGACGGGCGGCCCCGCAGGTGGCCCTGCTGCTCCTGCTGGCCGTGGTGCCCACCATCCGGATTGTCCGGGCGGGAATGACCAAGGACGTGGTGGTGCTGCTGGTCCAGCTGGGATTGGTGCCCTCGGAAAATCCGGCAGTGCCTGGGGACATGGAAAAGGAGCTGGGAACCGTCCGTCACTACCTGTGGGCGCTGGAAGGTGCCCGAGCCGCCGGATCGGCGTTCCAGAGGGGGATTCCAGAGGGATTTCGGGATTCCTCAGACGGAGGATGGGATGGGGAGGATTCCAGAAGGATTTCAGAGGATTCGTGGTCTGGGGGATGGGACTGGGAGGATTCCAGGGGGATTTCCAGAGGATTCCCAGCCCATAGGATGGGATGGAGCAGATTCCAGGGGGATTTCCGGAGGATTCCTGGCCTGGTGGATGGGATGGAGCAGATTCCAGGAAGATTTCCAGAGGATTCCTCACCTGGAAGATGGGACTGGGAGGATTCCAGGGGGATTTTGGGAGCAGCTGGCAGGGATGGGGAGGATTCCTCACCTGGAGGATGAGATGGAGCTGATTCCAGAGGGATTTCCAGAGGATTCCTCACTCAGAAGACAGGATTGGGAAGATTCCAGAGGGATTTCCGGAGGATTCCTCACCTGGAGGATGGGATGGGGCGGATTCCAGGGGGATTTTAGGAGCGGCTGGCAGGGATTGGGCAGGTTCCAGGGTGATTTTGGGAGGATTCCTGGCCTGGAAGTTGGGATTGAAAGAATTCCTGAGGGATTTCTGGAGAATTCCTCACTCGGAGGACGGGATTGGAAGAATTCCTGAGGGATTTCAGGAGAATTCCTCACTCGGAGGATGGGATTGGGAGAATTCCCGAGGGATTTCGGGAGCAGCTGGTGGCGCTGGGGCTGTGCCAGGCCGGCGCGTGCCAAGGCGGGAAGAGACTCTGGGAAAAGCCGTTGGGAAAAGCTGGAGGGAAGAGACGGCAGATGCCGCGGGCTTGGAAATCTGCGGGAAGCGAACAGATGGGCCCCAGATCCCTGGAGAGCCAAAATCCTTGGATGGAAGGCATGAGGGGAGAGCAGGGAAGAGGGAATAGCAGGGATGGAGGGATGGCTGGGATCGGGAATTCCAGGGATTGGGAATTCCAGGGATGGCTGGGATCAGGGAATTCCAGGGATGGAGGGATAGCATGGAATTTCAGGGATCAGGGAATAGCAGGGATCAGGGAATTTGGGGGATGAAGGAACAGCAGGGATGAGGGAATTCCAGGGATTCCAGGATCCCACCAACTCCAGGGAGGAATTTCAAGGCTTTTCCTGGATCCCCAAGCCTCTCTCATCCCGTTCACTTCCCTCCTCCCGCTTTCCCGCCAATCCCCTTTTCCCAGGACCCCCATCCCATCCCATTATCCCATTATCCCATCCCAGGATTTTCCCGGATTTCGCTTTTCCCTCCTCCTGTCCCTCGGGAGCCGAAGGAGACGGCAACAAAAGGCGGGAAACTGAGGCAGGGCGCCCATCCCCCGTCCAATTCCCGCCAAAATCCCATTCCTGGCGGTGTTCCCGAGCCCGAATCCAGGAGTTTTTTCCCGATTTTCCGCAGTTTGCTACATCAGCTCCCTGGTGTTCTGCTGCCTGCTGACCTGTGCCATGCTCCTCAGGACACTGGCCATGCACAGGTGCCATTCCCAAATCCACAAATCCCCAGATTCCTGCCCCCATTCCCAATATTCCCACCCCCATTCCCAATATTCTTGCCCCCACTCCCAAATTCCTGGCTCCATTCCTGATATTTCCATCCACATTCCCAGTATTTCCACCCCCATTCCTGATAGTTCCTGCCCCCTTTCCCAAATTCCCCGGCTCCATGCCCAAGATTCCTGTCCCCATTCCCAATGTCCCAGCCCCAATTCCCAATGTCCCTGTTCCCATTCCCGATATTCCCAGCCCCATTCCTGCCATTCCTTTGCCCATCCCTGATATTCCCATTCCCAATATCCCCATCCCTGATATTCCCATTCCCGATAGTCCCATTCCTGATACTCCCATTCCTGATATTCCCATCCCCATTCCTGCCGTTCCCACATCCATTCCCAATATTCCCATTCCCAATATTCCCATCCCCATTCCCGCTGTTCCCATGCCCATTCCCGATATTCCCATCCCTGATATTCCCATTCCCGAGATTCCCATTCCTGGTATTCCTGATATTCCTGATATTCCCATTCCCGATATTCCCGATATTCCCATTGCTGATATTCCCATTCCTGATATCCCCATTCCTGATATTCCTGATATTCCTGATATTTCTGATATTCCCATTCCCAATATTCCCGCTATTCCCATTCCCGCTATTCCCATTCCCGATGATACTCCCAATATTCCCGTTCCCGCCATTCCCGCCATTCCCGCTGACATTCCAGGTGCTTTTCCAGGTCCAACCTGCGGGCTCTGTACCAGGGCGCGGTGCTGGACGTGTTCTCCAAGGCCCAGATCCTGCGCCCTTCCCGGGAATCCGTCGTCTCCTGGATCGGCTTCTCCGCATTCCAGGCCGCCTTCGCCTGCCTGGGTACCGGGATCCGGGACCCGGGATGGGAGAATCCCGGTTTTCCCAAGGCTTGAGAGGCCGTTCCCGGGTTTTGATCGGCTTTTCCTCGCAGGAGATCCGGCGGGATTTGGGAATGCTGGGGGGTTGGGAATTGGGGGGGGTTGGGAAATGGGGGGAAATGGGAAAAAGTGGGGAAAATCAAAATTTGGAAAAATGGGGAAAGTTGGAAAAATCAGAAAAATGGGAAAAATAATTGGAAAAAAATGGGAAAATGGGATAAATGGGAAAAGTGGGGAAAAAATGGGGAAAAAAATGGGAAAAATGGGGAAATCAAAACCTAGAAAAATAATTGGAAAAATAATAGAAAAAATGGGGAAAATGGGAAAAAATGAGAAAAATAATTGGAAAAATCTGAAAAAATTGGAAAAATCTGAAAAAACGGGAAAAATGGGGAAAATGAGAAAAACAGAAAAATTTTAAAAATGAGGAAAAGCAGAAAAAAAATGGAAAAATTGGGAAAAAATCAGAAAAATTGGAAAAATCAGAAAAAATGGGAAAATAATTGGGAAAAATTGGGAAAATGGAAAAAATTGGAAAAATGGGGACATCAAAAACTGGAAAAATAACTGGAAAAATGGGGAAAATGGGAAAAATTGTAAAAATGGAAAATTTGGAAAAATCAGAAAAATTGGAAAAATGGGGAAAAATGGGAAAAATCATTGGAAAAATGGGAAAAATTGAAAAAATCAGAAAAATAAGAAAAATAATTGGAAAAATGGGGAAAATGGGAAAAATTGGAAAAACTGGGAAAATTGAAATATTGGAAAAATTGGGAAAATGGGAAAAATTGGGAAAATGGGAAAAATTGAAAAAATCAGAAAAATGAGAAAAATAATTGGAAAAATGGGAAAAATGGGAAAAATAATTGGAAAAAATGGGGAAAATGGGAAAAATGGGGAAATCAAAACCTGGAAAAATAATTGGAAAAATAATTGGAAAAATGGGGAAAATGGAAAAAAATGAGAAAAATCAGAAAAGTCTGAAAAAATGGGAAAAATTGGGAAAATAGGAAAAACTGGGAAAATAGGAAAAATTGGGAAAATCGGAAAGATTGAAAAAAAATTAGAGAAATGAGAAAAATCAGAAAAACTGGAAAAATCGGGAAAGATCAGAAAACCTTGGGAAAATCAGGTTGGGAATTCCAAGAGGGGGAAGGGCTGGGATGACACCTGGGTTCGGCGGGATCCCGAATATTCCGACGGGAAAAATCCCTTCCCAATCCCGACCCCGATCATCCCAGGAACAGCATCCCAAAAAGCGGGAAAACCCCCGGGAATGGCAGGAAGGATCCCTGGGAAAGGGCGGTTTGGGGTTTTCCGTGAGCACAGGGAGGAGGAGCCGTTCCCTGATCCCAAATTCCTGGATTCCGTGTCCCGTTCCCAGGGCTCCTGATCCAGCAGGTGATTTTCTTCCTGTGCTCCGTGGCCTTCGCATTCCTGGTGGTGATCCCGCTGCAGGCCGGCCGCGGCTCCCCGCTCCTTGGGATCGTCCGGAACGTCTGGTGAGGCCTCGGGAAAAGCTGGGAAAGGCCCCGCACGGCTTTGGAAGTTTTCCAACACTTCTGGAGGTTTCTGCTTCCCGGGGCCATGGTTTGGGACATTCCTGGGATTTTTGGGACATTTCTGGGATCTTGGGACATTCCTGGTGTTTTGGGGCCATTCCCAGTGTTCCAGGGCCATTCCTGGTGTTTTTGAGTCAATTCCCGGTATTCCCAATCCATTCCCAGTGATTCTGGGTCCATTCCCAGTGATTCCATGTCCATTCCCAGTGTTATTCCTGCTCCATTCCCAGTGTTATTCCTGCTCCATTCCCAGTGTTATTCCCGCTCCATTCCCGGTGTTCCCGCTCCATTCCCAGTGTTATTCCCGCTCCATTCCCGATGTTTTTGGGCTCCATTTCCGGTGTTGTTCCCACTCCATTCCCGGTGTTTTTGGGCTCCATTCCTGGTGTTTTTGGGCTCCATTTCCGGTGTTGTTCCCACTCCATTCCCGGTGTTGTTCCCGCTCCATTCCCGGTGTTTTTGGGCTCCATTCCCGATGTTTTTGGGCTCCATTTCCGGTGTTGTTCCCACTCCATTCCCGGTGTTGTTCCCGCTCCATTCCCGGTGTTGTTCCCACTCCATTCCCGGTGTTGTTCCCACTCCATTCCTGGTGTTGTTCCCGCTCCATTCCCGGTGTTTTTGGGCTCCATTCCCGATGTTTTTGGGCTCCATTTCCGGTGTTGTTCCTGCTCCATTCCCGGTGTTTTTGTGCTCCATTCCCGGTGTTGTTCCCGCTCCATTCCCGGTGTTTTTGGGCTCCATTCCCGATGTTTTTGGGCTCCATTCCCGGTGTTGTTCCCGCTCCATTCCCGGTGTTGTTCCCGCTCCATTCCCGGTGTTGTTCCCGCTCCATTCCCGGTGTTGTTCCCGCTCCAGGCCCCTCTGGCTGTTCCTGTTCCTGGCCGTGCTCCTGCAGCACCTCCTGGCCCATTTCCACTTCCTGCAGCGCAACTCCCTGAGCGCCGAGCTGGCCCACAGGTACCCAGTGTCCCCCAGTGTCACCCAGTGTCACCCTGTGTCACCCTGTGTCACCCGGTGTCACCCAGTGTCACCCAGTGTCACCCAGTGTCACCCTGTGTCACCCAGTGTCACCCAGTGTCACCCGGTGTCACCCAGTGTCACCCGGTGTCCCCGAGTGACCCCTGTGTGTCACCTAGTGTCCCCGAGTGTCCCCGAGTGTCACCCAGTGTCACCCAGTGTCTCCAAAGTGTCCCCAAGTGTCCCCAAGTGTCACCCAGTGTCCCCAAAGTGTCCCCAAGTGTCCCCAAGTGTCCTCAAGTGTCCCTGAGTATCCCCTGAGTGTCCCCAAGTGTTCCAAATGTCCCCAAAGTGTCCCCAAGTGTCCCCTCTGTGTCCCCTCAGTGTCCCCAAAGTGTCCCCGTGTGTCCCCAGCCTGGCTCTGGTGGCAATTCCAGGCTCTCCCAGAGGTTTCTTGGGAAGTTCTGGCTGGGATTTTAGTGGGGTGACCCCAGAGAGGTGGCCCTGCTCCGTTGGCATTTCCGAAAATCCGGGAAAAGCCCAATCCGGCAGGATTGGCCGGATGGGGCCGCTGGCAGATGTCCCTGCCCAGGACACGGTGTCACCACCCGGGATGGGGTGACAGAGGGACCCGAGTGTCCGGTTCCACCCCCTGGCAGGGCACCGAGGTTCTCCTCAGCCCATCCCAGGCCACCAGCAGATGTCCCTCTCTGGGACACGGTGTCACGACCTGAGACCAGGGTGACACATGGACCCAAGTGTCCCCCAGCTCTCCTGGAGCTGCTGTCCATCCCAGGCCACCGGCAGATGTCCCTCACCCCCACATGGTGACACCACCTGAGACCGGGGTGACTGAGGGACCTGAGGGTTCTCCTTCCACCTCTTCTGTCACCTCCTGGTGGGGCAGTGACGCTCTCCTGGAGCTGCTGTCCATCCCAGGCCACCAGCAGGTGTCCCTCACTCCCACGAGGTGTCACCACCCGGGATGGGGTGACAGAGGGACCCGAGTGCCCGGTCCCAACCCCTGGCAGGGCACCGAGGTTCTCCTCAGTTCATTCCAGGCCACCAGCAGATGTCCCTCACCCAGAGATGGTGGCACCACCCAAGATGGGGTGACAGAGGTGTCAGGTCCCACCCCCTGGCAGGGCACCAAGGTTCTTCTGGTGTCCATCCCAAGCCACCAGCAGATGTCCCTCACTCCCACGTGTTCTCACCACTTGGGATGGGGTGACAGAGGGACCCGAGGGTTCTCCTTCCACCTCTTCTGCCACCTCCTGGTGTGGCAGTGATGCTCTCCTGGAGCCGCAGTCCATCCCAGGCCACCAGCAGATGCCCTTCACGCAGGGATGGTGTCACCACCCAAGACCGAGGGACCCGAGTGTCCCCCTGGTGTGGCACTGACACTCTCCTGGATCTGGTGGCCTCCATCCCAAAATCCCAACCCCACGTTTTGGCCATTCCCTCCATCCCTGAGGAGAAAAGGAGCTCCTGGAGGTTCTGGAGGTTCTCCAGGAGCTCAGGTGGGGCCAGGTGGTTGGGATGGGCCGGATTTTTCCCGGGAAAGCCATCCCGTGGGATTCCGTGCCTTGCAGGTGCGCCCTGAGTGTCACCTCCTTCCTGCTCTTCCCCACCAACGTCCTGGTGGGCCTGGTGGCCGGAGTGTGGCGCGTGGTCATCTCCGGCCTCTACAACTCCGTCCACTTCTGCCGGCTGGACATCAGCCTGCTGCACCGCCGCGCCGACACCTTCGACCCAGGTGGGAGCGCGCCGGGGGCTGGGATGGGGGGCAGCCTCAAATCCTTGGGAATGGGACACCTGGAGCTTCTCCTGTTCCTGGTTTTCATTCTGAAAAAAAGTGGGATGAGCTTTGGGGTTTGACCTCGTGTCCTGGGAGAAGGGAGAGGAGACCTCAGGGAGGTTCCTCTGTTTTTCCGGCTGGGATTGATGGTGGCCGCAAAATTTTGGGAATGGGACACCTGGAGCTTCTTGTTCCTGGTTTTCATCCCGAAAAAATGTGGGATGAGCTTGGGGTTTGTCCTAGAGGAAAGAAGAAAGGATCTCAGGCCTCCTCCCATCCCAAAAAAAAAGTGGGATGAGCTTTGGGGTACGACTTGGGGGAGAGAAGAAAGGAACTCAGGCCTTCTCCTGTCCTAGAAAAAAGTGGGATGAGCTATGGATTTGACCTCATGTCCTGGGAGAAAGGATCTCAGGCCTTCTCCCGCTTTTCCAGCTGGGATTGAGGGTGGCTTGGAAATGGGACAACAGCAGCAAGGGGCTTCTCTTGATTCCTGCTCGATCCTGCTTTTCATCCCCAAAAAAAAGTGGGATGAGCTTTGGGATTTGACCTTGTGTCCTGGGAGAAAGGGGAGGAGACCTCAGGGGAGCTTCCTCTGTTTTTCCTGCCGGGATTGTGAGAGCAGGGAAAGCAGAGCTGGATCCTTCCATCGGCTGTGGGGTGGGAAGGAGCTGGAAAGCAGGAATGGGGAATGGGAACGGGAACGGGAACGGGAATGGGAATGGGAATGGGAATGGGAATGGGAATGGGAATGGGGAACAGGGAATGCAGTCCCGGCTGAGAGCACGCTGTCGCCGCAGGGTACCACAGCTACTGCCACTACCTGCGGGTGGAGGTCAGCCAGTGCCACCCCCTGCTCAAGGCCTTCTGCTTCCTGCTCCTCCAGCCCCACCGGCCAGAGCCGCCCCGGGACACACAGCTGGAGGAAGGTGGGAACTGGGAAAGTGCCAGAACAGGGGGAGGGACACACAGATGGTGTCTTCTGATGGCTTGGGTTGGTGTGGGGACACCTCCATCCATCCATCCATCCATCCCTCCATCATCCATCATCCATCATCCATCCATCATCCATCCATCCTCCATCCATCCATCCATCCATCCCTCCATCATCCATCATCCATCATCCATCCATCATCCATCCATCCTCCATCCATCCATCCATCCATCCCTCCATCATCCATCATCCATCATCCATCCATCATCCATCCATCCTCCATCCATCCATCCATCCATCCCTCCATCATCCATCATCCATCATCCATCCATCATCCATCCATCCTCCATCCATCCATCCATCCATCCCTCCATCATCCATCATCCATCATCCATCCATCATCCATCCATCCTCCATCCATCCATCCATCCATCCCTCCATCATCCATCATCCATCATCCATCCATCATCCATCCATCCTCCATCCATCCATCCATCCATCCCTCCATCATCCATCATCCATCATCCATCCATCATCCATCCATCCTCCATCCATCCATCCATCCATCCCTCCATCATCCATCATCCATCATCCATCCATCATCCATCCATCCTCCATCCATCCATCCATCCATCCCTCCATCATCCATCATCCATCATCCATCCATCATCCATCCATCCTCCATCCATCCATCCATCCATCCCTCCATCATCCATCATCCATCATCCATCCATCATCCATCCATCCTCCATCCATCCATCCATCCATCCCTCCATCATCCATCATCCATCATCCATCCATCATCCATCCATCCTCCATCCATCCATCCATCCATCCCTCCATCATCCATCATCCATCATCCATCCATCATCCATCCATCCTCCATCCATCCATCCATCCATCCCTCCATCATCCATCATCCATCATCCATCCATCATCCATCCATCCTCCATCCATCCATCCATCCATCCCTCCATCATCCATCATCCATCATCCATCCATCATCCATCCATCCTCCATCCATCCATCCATCCATCCCTCCATCATCCATCATCCATCATCCATCCATCATCCATCCATCCTCCATCCATCCATCCATCCATCCCTCCATCATCCATCATCCATCATCCATCCATCATCCATCCATCCTCCATCCATCCATCCATCCATCCCTCCATCATCCATCATCCATCATCCATCCATCATCCATCCATCCTCCATCCATCCATCCATCCATCCCTCCATCATCCATCATCCATCATCCATCCATCCATGGATTCCATCCATCCATCCAAGGGCTGATCCCATGCCAAGGTCAGGATCTTTGGGGTGTGGTGGGATCTTTGTGGCTCCAAGGAAATGGGGCTGGAATCTGGGAATCCTGGAATGCTTCGGCTTGGATGGGACCTTGACGCCCATCCAGGGACCCCTCCCACTATCCCAGGCTGCTCCAATCCCTCTCCAACCTTTCCTTGGGCACTTCCAGACATCCAGGGGCAGCCACAGCTTCTCTGGGAATTCCATCCCAGCCAGGAATTCCTTCCCGATATCCCCCCAATCTCCTCATTCCCAACAGGAATCCATCCCCCTGCGCCTCATCCCAATCCCTCTCCCTCTCTCCTGGTGCTTTTCCAGGCCCTGAATGCTTTTCCTGCTGCTCCCGTCTCCTTCCAGGCCTCCAGCTGATGCATCCCAAGCATCCGGCTCCGGGAAAAGCTCGGATCAGGCAGATCCGGGCACGCTGGTGCCTGGCCTACACGCTCCTGCACAATCCCTCGCTGAGCGCTTCCCGGAAAACCGCGCTGGCCAATCCCGCCGCCAACGGCGCCCAGCTGGGCGTTCCCAGGCCCTGAATTCCCGGGAATCCCTTCCCGTCTCCCATCCCATCCCCGGCGGGAATTTCAGGCTCTTCCCGCCTTCCCCTTTCCCTTTTCCTCTGGACTCTCTCCAAGGGTTTATCCCTAAATCCCCTCCTGTGCTCTGGAGGTGATGCCTCCGAGCCCGGCCTGGATGGATCCAAGCCGAGGAAAACACTCCCAGCATCCCAAAAATATTTTGGGATTCCCTCCCACGGCCAGCCCCTTTCTCAGCAGCTTTTCCACCACGGGACAATTCCAAGGGAACCGGGAGAGGAGCATGAGGGATCTTCTCCATCCCAAGGAATTCCCAGCCACCTGGAATTACCCCTGGAGATCCACATGGGAGAAAATTCCCATTCCCAGCTTCTCCCTCCCTGATCCTGGCTCTGTTTGGGCTCTGCATTCCCTCCCTGGACTTTTTTATCCCGCCAAGTTTTGAAGGATCAAATCCCTCCCTGCTCCCTGTCCTCTACCATTCCTGCTGGGTTTTCCAGGGCTGGGATCCATGGAAAACTTCGCTGGGAAGTGCAGGGGGAGGGGAATAAACAGATACCTCATTCCCGCTCCCGAGATGCGCCTTCTTCCTTGGATATTCCCAGCTCCGGCGGGATTTGGGACCCATCCCAGCCCCAAATCCATGGAATGGTTGGGATGACCTCGCCCAGCAGAGATTTTGGGAATCCGCTCCAGCTGGGAATGTCGGGATCCAATCCACGATCCCACTTTAGGGCGGTTTCAAGGGAAAACCGCTCCAGCAATTTAGGAACGGGGAATTTTGGGGATGAAACGCCAGCGGGATGGGAACGAGGCGGTGCTGGATCGTCTCTTCCTGCTCTTAAATCCTGGAATTCCAGACATTTTGGGCTGGAATGAGCAGGCTCCTGGTGGCTCCTTCCATCCCAAACATCCCAAGATTCCCTTGGGAATTCTCAGCCCAGCCCACACGGAGCTGCCGGATCATCCCAGGGTTTCCTTGGGAATGGCCGGACCTGTTCTCCACAGGATCCCAAGGATCCCATTCCTCCCTCTGGAATGTTCCCCGCACCCTCAGGATGATTCCCGAGCTTTGGGGCTTCCTTGGAACGTCCCCCCCACTTTTCCCAGGATTCCCTCCCGGTCCATCCCGACCCCTGCGGCTCCAAAGGCAGCTGAAAATTCCTTCCAAAAATCCCTTTAAATATCCCTAAAATCCCTTTAAATATTCCAAAAAAATCTCTTCCAAAAATCCCTTTAAAAATCCCTAAAATACCTTCAAAGATAAAAAAAATCTCTTTAAAAATCCCTTTAAAGATCCCAAAAGTCCCGTTAAAAATCCCTTTAAAAAAATCCCAAAAATCCCTTTAAAAATAACTTTAAAAATCCCTTTAAAAATCCCATTAAAAATCCCCCAAATCCCTTAAAAAATCCCAAGAATCCCTTTAAAAATTCCTTTAAAAATTCCAAAAATTCCTTTAAAAAACCCTTTAAAAAAATATCAAAAATCCCTTTGAAAATAGTAATAAAAAAATTCCATTTAAAAAGCACATTAAAATTCCAAAAAATCCAATTAAAAAATCCCAAATATCCTTTTAAAAATCCCAAAAATCCGTGGCAGCTCCATGTCACGGGCGGGGCTGAATTTTTGGGATCTGTTTCCACATCCCCACCCAAGGCTCCCGGGAGATCCATGGAACTTCTGGGGTTTCCGGGATAGCAGCCGCGCCCTGGGCGGGATTTGGGATTTCCTTGCCCTTCCTGACTCTTCCCACATCCCAGCTGGAATTTCGGGAATAACTCCCCAGGGATAAACCAGAGCTTAAAAGCTGGATCCTGAGGAACGAACCCCAAAATTTTCCTTGGGGACCACGGTTTTTATCCCAAAGCGGGAAAAATTTGTGGGAATTCCTCACAGAGACCTCGGCTGCCAAATTCCCTTTCCCTAAAATCTGTCTGGATAAGGAATTTTGGCACTGGAGAGCTCCAGGCTCTGCTTTTCTAGCTGATCTTGGGATTTCCGTTGGGGGCGGATTTTGGGGTATCCCAGGATTTTGGGGATTTGGGATTTTGGGGTGTCCCAGGATTTGGGGGTATCCCAGTATTTTGGGGTATCCAACGATTTTGGGGATTGGGATTTTGGGGTGTCCCAGGATTTTGGGGTATTCCACGATTTTGGGGTATCCCACGATTTTGGGGATTGGGATTTTGGAGTATCCCAGGATTTTGGGGTATTCCACGATTTTGGGGTATCCCACGATTTTGGGGATTGAGATTTTGGAGTATCCCAGGATTTTGGGGTATCCCAGGATTTTGGGGATTGGGATTTTGGGAATTTTTTGGGGGAGGATTTTGGGATGCACAGAGCAAGCGAAGCCCGGCTGGTTTAGAAAAACCCGAGGAGTTTATTCAAGGTGTTTATTAAGAAGTCATTATTAATTCAAAGTGCTCATTAATTAAATGCATTCATTAAAAACCGTTCCTCTATTCAAGGTGTTTATTACAGGTATTTCTTAATTAAAGGCGTTAATTAAAGGCGTTAATTGCTGGCCCTACAGGGGCCCAGATCCCACTGGGAATTCCAGAGCTGGATCCATTCCCAAATCCCCACCCTCTGAGGGATTCCCGGGATAAGCTGGATAAGGAATGTTTGTCCTGCCGGGAATTCCGGAGCACATCGGGAATGTTCATGGCTTAAAGGCAGCTCCGCTTCCCTGCTTTTCCCCATCTTCCCCCCATTCCCACTGGGAATGCTTTGTGAATCTTTGGCTCGAGCGGTGGGTCCAGCCCAGACGGGTTTTTTGGGATGGCGGTGTTGGAATTCCTGCGGCATTCCAGGAGGAGCTCAGGATGGGAGCTCGGGATGGGAGCTCAGGATGGGAGCTCGGGATGGGAGTTCGGGATGGAAGCTCGGGGTGTTCCCGGAGCTCCTACTAGGAGAAAACCCGGGAAATTCTTCCCGATCCAAGCCCCTGGGTCCCCTGGGAGCCCATTCCCAGGGGAAGGCACTTTTTCCTTGGATCCCTGGGCGGGATCTGGGGTGGGATTGTCCTGGCTCCAGCACCTGGATCCGGGCTGGGAGAAAAGCGGGAAGTAGAGGCTGATCCCAGCTGGATCTGGCCTGGATCTGCCCCGCATTCCCTGAGCCCCTCCAGGATTGGGAAGGGCTGGACCCACCGGGATCCTAGAAGCTCAGCAAAGGCTCCGCGAGAGGGAAAAAAACTATGGGAAAAAAGGAATTTTCCCCCCCCCAAAAAAACCACTGCTCCCCCTTCACCAGAACAGCAACATCAGCAGAACCAGCGGCCAAATTCCCGGGCGGAATTCCCGGGCTGCCGCTGCCGCTGCGCTCCGGACCTCCTTGGGCAGGCGGTAGACGATGACCAACTTCTCTCCCATCCCGGATGGATCCAGCTCGTCCCCCTTGGAGCAGCTTTTCCCTCCGGGCTGCCCGGCCTGGGGGTCATCCCTGGGCAGCTCCTCGGCCGGGTTCCCGGAGCCGGACAGCGCCACGTTGACCGACACATCGCGCGTCCCCACCTCGTTGATGGCCAGGCAGGTGTAGGTGCCTTCATCCTCCTTCCCGAAATCCGGGATGGCCACGGTGCCGTTCTTGAAGGCCAGGAAGCGCCTCCCGCCCGCTTTGACGCCTCCGTCACGGGCCACCGTGGGCCCGTGGATGTCCAAGCGGCGAGCGGCCGTGCGGATCCGCCAGTGGATCTCGGGCGGGGGGCTGCCGGCCACGCTGCAGTGCAGGCTCAGCGTCAGCCCCTCCCGGCTCTCCCCATCCCCGCGATTCCCGGACAGGTAGGTCAGCTGCGCCGTGGGAGCCACGCACAACTCTCCGGGAATATCCCTGACCGGCCTCCCCCGCAGCCTCGGCGGGGCGGCGCACAGCGTGGAGCCCGAGCCCGAGATGACGGCCGAGGTGGCCTCGGCCCATTCCTTGAGCCAGAAGAGTTTGCAGGAGCAGTTGAAGGGGTTGCGGAAAAGCTGGAGCTGCGCCAGCGCCGGCAGCGCCTCGAAGGTTCCGCGGGCCAGCGTGGTGAGCTCGTTGTCGTTGAGCCAGAGCGAGCGCAGCTCCCGGAGGCCGCTCAGGGCCCCGGCCGGCAGCGAGGACAGCCGGTTGTTGCTCAGCTTGAGGATCTGCAGCGCTCCCAGCCCGCGCAGGTCCTGCCAGGGGAAATCCGTCAGCCGGTTGTGGCTCAGGTCCAGGTTCTTGAGCTGCGGCAGCCGCGAGAAGGTGCCGGGCTCCACGGCCGAGATGTGGTTGTAGCCCAGCCACAGCGACTGCAGCTCGGGCACCTCGGCCAGCGAGGCTCGGCCCAGGCGGCTCAGGCGGTTGGCGGAGAGCGTCAGGATGGTGACATTGGGGGACAAGCCCCGGGGGACGTCGCGGAGCTCCCGGTAGGCGCACTCGGCCAGCAGCCGCCCGTTCCTCTTGGCCGAGCAGGAGCAGAGGCTGGGACAGGCCAGGCCCGGGGACAGCAGCGCCAGCAGCGCCAGGACACCGAGCGCCCTCCTCATCCTCCCGTCCTGCCGGGAACAGAGAGGCGCGATTACCCCGGAGAGGATCGCGGAGAGAATTCCGGCTGGGAAAGGCGCTTTGGGATGTTCCCGAAATCCCGGCCCGAGCAGGGAAGTTCCCCCCGCCCTGGCGAGCTTCTCCTGGGCCCTCCGGGAAGCGCCCTTGGGATGGGAAGTTGGGATGGGAACTCCTCGGGATGAGGAGCGGCGGCCGCGGGGTTCCCGGTTCCTCCTCCCCAGGAGGATCGGAGCACCCGCGGCTCCTTCCCCGGCAGCCTCCCCTCATACCATGGGATTTTTGGGATTTCCAGCCAAACCCCCGAGCTCCGGCTTTTCCCGTCTCATGGAAAAATCCCATGGAAATTCTCCCTCAAGGCCCCGCGGCCGCTGGAATTCTCTGCAGGGGAATTTTTCCCGACTAACTCCTTCTTCCCCTCTCCGGAGCTCCTCCGGGCCGCTCCAGCCGCGCTTCCCGAGGCCGTGTCCCACCGGGAAGAGGTTAAGGATTCCCGCTCGGCCAGCAGCTGGCAGCCAGAGCCCTTTGTCTGAGCTCCCCTGCTCCCAGCCCGACATTCCCGGCGGGAGCCGCTTCCTTGGGAATGCGGAATAACCCCGCACTCCTCGGCGAGGGAGACACCCCGGGATGGGGATTTGAGGCTCCCCGGCGGTGCTGGAGGAGCCCAGCGAGGGCTCGGTGGCACTTTTGGGATGCCCGGAGAGAGCCAGACCCCATTTCCCAGGGATTACGGAGGAGGATCCCGGAATTTTTTCCCTCCGTACCCCATCCCAGCTTTTTTCCAGAGTCCCCCCGCGGGCCCGCGCGGCGCATTCCACAGGCGTGAATAACCCTGCCCTCTTCCTTCCCTCCTCTCCCGGACTTTTTTTCCCGGATTTTTTCCCGGTTTTCCCGCGTGCCAGCCCCGCTCCCGGGGCCCCGCCGCCCCTGCCCGGTCACCGGCGGTGCAGCCCCGCTGGTCCCCGCTCCTCCGGACCTCGGCCCCGCCGCTCCCGGGCCCTTCTCTTCCTCCTCCTCCCCCTCCTCCTCCCCCTCCCCCCCCCCGCCCCTCGCCCCCGCCGCTCCCGGGCCCTTCTCTTCCTCCTCCTCCCCCTCCTCCTCCTCCTCCCCCTCCTCCTGCTCTCGTCCCCTCCCCGTCCCCCGGGCCCGGTTGTTTTCCATGGCACCGACCCGATCCCGCCTGCCGGGCGATTCCTGCGCCTTCCCTCCGCACCCCTGGCCCCAAAATCCCATCAAATCCCATTTCCCCCACACCCCTGCCCCACAAAATCCCATAAAATCCCATTCCCTCCGCACCCCTGGCCCCAAAATCCCTGAAAATCCCATTCCCTCCGCACCCCTGACCCCAAAATCCCTGAAAATCCCATTCCCTCCGCACCCCTGACCCCAAAATCCCATGAAATCCCATTCCCTCCCCACTGCCCAACCCCCCAAAACCCTGTCCATCTCTGCCCCCCAAAATCCCCCCAAACCCCCTCCCTCCACACCCCTGCCCCCCCAAATCCCATAAAATCCCATTCCCTCCACACCCCTGACCCCCCAAAATCCCATAAAATCCCATTTCTCCCACTGTCCTACCCCCCAAAACCCCGTCCTCCCACCTCTGACCCCCAAAGTCCCCTAAAATCCCATTTCCCCCACACCTCTGCCCCACAAAATCCCATAAAATCCCATTCCCTCCGCACCTCTGCCCCCCCAAAATCCCATAAAATCCCATTCCCTCCGCACCCCTGACCCCAAAATCCCATAAAATCCCATTTCCTCCGCACCTCTGCCCCCCCAAAATCCCATAAAATCCCATTTCCCCCACACCCGTCCCCCCCAAAATCCCATAAAACCCCGTTTCTTCCAGAACCCTGTTCCTCAAAATCCCATCAAATCCCCTTTCCCTCACACCCCTGCCCCACAAAATCCCCCCAAAATCCCATTCCCTCTGCACCCCTGGCCCCGAAATCCCATAAAATCCCATTCCCTCCACACTTCTGTCTCCCCAAAATCCCATAAAATCCCATTCCCTCTGCACCCCTGGCCCCAAAATATCCTAAAATCCCATTTCTCGCCCATCTCTGCCTCCAAAATCCCCCCAAAAAAGGATTTGGGGACAGGATTTGGGGACAGGATTTGGGGACCGGATTTGGGGACAGGATTTGGGGAAGGATTTGGGGATGGATTTGGGGACAGGATTTGGGGACAGGATTTGGGGATGGATTTGGGGATGGATTTGGGGACAGGATTTGGGGACGGGATTTGGGGAGGGTTTTGGGGTGG